GGTCCATGACTGTTTTTCAGCCCCAGTCAGTCCTCTTTTTTTTTTTTTTGCTATTTTTGGGGGGGGGGGCATGAGGATTTTTCAAAAATCAGAAAGGGGGTGTGATGCTGAAAAGTTTGGGAACCACTGCTCTACGGGTATATGTAAGGAGAGAGAAGGGTCAAGGTGTCAGGCCCACTGGCCCAGTCTTGTAGGTCACCCTTTCTGTATGGGGCCAATGGGAGATTTGATAGTATAATAATAGGTTATGTAACAAATCAGTCCGAAAATTCTCTGACAGCTAAAACCATAGGTGAAATTTAGAATTCTATGCATTCTCGGGTGCACAGAGGAAGGAGCCTTTTCGGAAACAAACAAACAAACATTCATATGGACATGTTTACATAAAAGGGAAGCAAAGAGGCAATAAATACTATTGAAGGTCTAGGGACCCTATTCAAGATGAGGCAAAGAGACCTGATAAAATACAAAGGCTTTTGCCAGTTGCTCACAAAGACACAGGTCTCCCTACCTGGACTCCAAGAAACAAATTAACCAGATTTCCATTGTCCTCCACCCGGCCTGGCATGAGAGAAAATAGCAACATCCTCTTTCAATTCTAATTGTATGCAAGCTGTGGTAGCTCCACCTCCTGGTGAAATTTGCAATCAATAAACTAGAAACAATTTGAAGAGACACAATAAGGGCTGCCCCTCCCACAGCTTCACCATTATTCCAGCTTTTATTTAGGTCTAAAAGCAGCGATTTTATGCTTTTTTGTCTGAAATTCTGCAGAAATATGAAAACAGACCCAAACTAAGAGGAGACATCATAAGCAAGCCACTCTCACAGTGCACATACTTCCCAGCAAGCAAGACACAACAGCTCAGGATGCTGGTACTATGATAATGGAGAGTATTTTGGTGGAATAATACACGAGTCAGTACTGAGGTTTTATTCTCATTGTTCGATAGGTTCCAATGGAGATTTATAACCCAGTCTCACAAAGTACCTCCCAAGTTCCTCTCCTTGGAGGAGAAGGCATTAGAGAAGTAGCCCCACATTCACTTGCACAAACTGCTTAAGCAGTAAGTTAGAGAAGAATAGTCTCTGGGTCAAAGCCAGTGAAGAGGGGAATTCCCTTACATTTCCTCTGCACAAACCTTCACTTCATGCCTGCCCATCAGCCTGTGCCCCATCAAGCCCACAAGAGTAAAAACCATCATAAAATCATAGACTACTAGAACTGGAAGGGACCTCGAGAGGTCATCGAGTCCAGCCCCTGACCGCACAGCAGGACTAAGCACAGTCTATATCATCCCTGATAGAGGTGTGTCTAACCTGCTCTTAAATATCTCCAGTGATGGAGATTCCACAACCTCCCTAATTACAATCACCACCTTAAAGGGACCCGCATGGCCCGGAACAGGTAACACTGTATTTATGGCACAGAGATAGGGAGCATCTACACTGCACCATAGGTCAAAATAAAATACGCAATTTGAGCTGCGCAAATTGTGTATCTTATTTTGATGTTATTTCGAAATAGCTTATTTAAAATTTGGCGCTGTCTACACAGCACTTATTTCAAAATAAATAATCCCTTACTCCTCATGAAATGAGGTATACAAGGACATCGGAATAGGGAGCCTGATATATTTTGAAATAATGGGTGCATGCAAAAGATGCAGAATAGCTATTTTGGGATACCTCTAGTATCCTGAAATAGCGCTGCAGCGTAGACGTGGCTATAATGTCCAGGAGCCAATTGGCCTCTTCTTCCTTTGTCTCATGATTTTCATCTAGTGAACTGCATTGCCCTTCCCCTTTCCCACAATGCCTCCACAGGGATACTCTCTTACAGAGTTGGCTTTGTACTAGCCGCACCTTGCACTGGAGAATAGGCTTCTGAGAATAGTCTGACCCCCATCACCATTGCCAACCGCAGAGTCCGGGAGCCGCTACTGTTCTCTCATTCTCCTCCCTTCATCGTTCTAGTACCGTTTTATGAGTCCCAGCTCTTGCCCTGCAAACAGACACCTGCCCTCTCCCCTTCACTCCTTACACAGCAGGTTTGCATAACTGCAGTGTCATCCTGGTCATTCTTAGAACTCACTGCAACCCTAGCAAAGGGCTAGTGCAAGAGGATTAGCTAAGACAGGCCCAGGAACCAGGCAGGGAAGAAAATGCCTAATTAAAAATATTTTCAAACTAAAGAAAGCGGAACGAAACAAGGAGAAAAAGAAGAAAAAAAGAGAATTCTTTTACCTGTTTGTTAATGGGGTAGGGGCACTCAGGGCACCTACAACACTTCTGACTCAGGGAAATTTTTAAAGGACAAGCTCTGACCAATATAGGCTCTGGAAGGGCTGGAGGAACAGTAGCCTTCTACTGGGATCTGCAATTTTCACTTCCTTCATAATACAGAACCCTCTCATTCGGAGTCTAGTTTAAATGGACTGGGGCACCTTTCTGCCACCATCAGGGGTAACTCTCAGAGCACTACAAGATACATTAAGTAACATCTGATGAGCACTGAAAGATCTTTGGTGAAGTATACTAGTGAGGGCAAAGCATCAGTATGCAAATGAACTGGAGTTACCTAACGTATACAATGGTTAATGGGATGCCAACACTGCACTGTCTAAAAATTAAGCTCGTTTTAAAAACGTCATGAAGTTGTCCTCCTCTTCCTCACCCTTCTCCAAGGTGAATCTTACACTTGTGCAGGAGAGCTTGAGGCAGAGAGGCATTCAGTGTAAGGTGTAAATTAAGAAAAGTCTTTTTTTATATGTGAATCTTGTAATGACCTTTCATGAAACCTAGTCAGCAACCCGTGCCTGAGGCAGTGCATACATTTTGGGGTTCAGAGGACATCATAAATCAGTGGAGTTAACCACCATAGTCAGAGTTAAACCGGGGGTAAGCCAGAGAACTCACTGATGCTGTAAGAACTTACACCAGGGCTCCATTTGGTCTAGTGTTTTCAGAACCCTTTAATTCAGAGATTACAAAGCCAGAAGGCACCATTGTGATTATCTCATTTGACCTCTTGTATAAAACAGGCAACAAGACTTCCCTGAATTAATTTATGTTTGAACTAGAGCATATCCTCTGGAAAAACATTCAATCTTGTTTAAAAGTGTCCAGTGATGGAGAATTTACCACAGATGCTAACCTCAGAGCTCAGAGTTACCCTAGCAATGCATACAGAGATTTCCTGCCATCTTGCTGTCACCTGCAGCAAATTAATGTAATATGCATTTCAGCACCCTGTCTGCACCTCTTTCCAGCAGATTTCCACAACACTAAGGGAAACTTTCTAGCAAGGCTCACTGTACAAAGGAATCTCTGTGAACTAAGTTATTTGGTTTATAAAGAAAACATACAAACTAAAAAACCCCCTCACAACCTCCTACTTAATAGGATATTTCACTGCCCTCTGCTGATACCAGTCCTTCAGCTTCCAATTTACTCTTTAATAATGTCAGGCTGGGGCTCAAGACTGGCAGCTTCCCAGTCTCTTTCTCAGGCGAGTTGGAACTGCAGCTTGTGAATATGCTGAAGTTTAATGCAATCTGTCTTCTTTGGTAATCACATTTCGTCTGCATTGGGCGCAATAAAGATATATTGGTAAATGCATCTGTTAAAGATACACTCACTGAAAGGCTACAAGCCTGATTTACAGAAGGCAAGAAGGAAGCATTGCCTAACAGAGACCAGCAAGAGATGTGCTGTGCTCTGCATACAGCAACAGGGGACAGAGATTGTGCAGCAGTAGCACAGGCCCTGCTTTGCTTTAGAGCTGAGGAAGAAAAAGAAACCGCATGTTTTGGGAGCTGGCGACTTTAAAGATACCAGAGAAAAGCCCTTTCCCTGGCAGCTTTAACCTTGCTGATTTGCAGACATACAAAGACCTTCTTTGTAAACAGGAAAGAAAAAAAATTCCACTAGGACTTGCAACAACATTTGGTCTAATATATCCTGACAATTTTCCCATCTCCTTCTGTCGGGGCTTCTTCTGGGAGCGGGCTGGCAGCTTGTTTCATGTTATACTTAAATCAGGCATACAGCATCTTTTTACAATGCTAATGCAAAGAGGCTCTCTTCACAACAGTCCCAGCCTCTCCCTTTCACACAGGTGACCCCAGA